GGGGGGGGGGGGGGGGGGCGAATCCGTATGCCAGAACTCGATCCATTACAGGATCTATGCATCCAACTGGGAAAACATGTGGGCAAATGGTACTCTTTCCCCACACACCTGGAAAAATGGGAAGGCGTTTCACCCCCTTGCCCCCCCGGCCTCCCTTGTTCCCCCCTGCCTCCCTTGCTCTCCTTGCCCCCCGCTTGCCCTAATGCATGCTCCGTTGAGCTCCGAAGCGTAGTGCAGTTTAGGAAGGAAAAAGTGGAGATCTCTCGCTCTCCGCCATCGTGCGACTTTTTCTCTCTTTGCTTTTACTGTCGTCATTTTTCCTCTGTCACGTACTCGGATGGTGTTGATGGCACCGGAGCTGGCAAAAATAACAGTGCAAGGCGCGAGGGAAATTCAACGAGGAGAAGCGAAAGGGCACGATGCCGCTCAAAATGAAGGAAAAAATGCAAAAAGGTCAAAAGGAACTTAAGGAGAAAAAAAAAAATTTAAGCGAAATTAGATCTCCCGCTCAGTTTTCCTCACTCACTCGTGAAACTCATTTGTCTCTTTTAGATTCGCTCAGGCCAAATTTCACAGGAAAGCTTCTTAAAACCTCCAAGATTTTTTTTTTAATCCACGAACTGTCAAAAACCTGGGTTGCCGGTGATTTTGGCTTCACCGTTGATCATTTCCTGTTTGATTTGCCGAGCTTCATCGTTCAGCTCTTCCCTGTTTGTGAAGAAGCCGATCCCTTAGTTTACTCTCGACTTAGGAAGAAAAACGAGAGACAGGGAGAGAATGAATGAGGATAGATTTTAAAAAAAATCAGAGGAAATGGTCGCACGGTTCTTGGCCGGTCTCAAAAGTCGCGCAAATCATTCAGGAACGCGCATCGAACTAAGAAAACAAAGGTGATTGACAGGCAGAATCAATGGAAACGAAAGCGCACATTCCATCTTTCACTGCACACCACGCCCCGGTTTTGGCACTCTTCAGAGTCAGCCGAGAAAATCTCCAAGAGGAAATTGCTCTCTGAAATGAGGAATCGGTGACGTTTTCCCCTGCATGCCGCCTTCCTCGCAATCTGCCTCATCACGTGGCAGAATGACCCTCGATTCAGACGAGACTCGAACGGCCATTCTCGGCGAACGGGTTACCAAACGGCGAGACTTCATCCACGCTCCGCGACGGAAAGCCTAGCAGACGATGCAACGTCATTCCTTCCCTTTCTCTCTCACCTCTCACAGTCTCTCACCTGCCTAGCCTTCTCTGCCCCTTGCTTTCCTCTCGTCCAGGGATGTGAGGCGCCAGCACTCCTCCACTACCCGAGTCACTTAAGATTTCCTCCTTATTCCTATTCGTTTTCCTTGCTCTCGACTGCCAGAGGCCTGCACGGGTCGACTTTTCCGAACCCGGCCCGATTCGAATCACGCCCCGCACCCGGCCCAGAACTCGATCGCCAGCCGAGCATTATGGGTCCGGCTCTTCACTGAAATTCATTGAAAATTTGCATGCAGGCAATTTGAAAATCCTCGATGACGAAATGCATCCCCTATTATTGATCCAAATTGCGATTGAAATTCGAATTCTGTGTCTCTTTAGAATACTATGAGGCAAAACTCACCGAAAGTTGTTGCTAAGGGAAATTGGAGGTCTCTGATGACAGGAAGCATCTTCCTCTTTTCCATTGGATACCTGGGCTATTTATAATTTTTTTTTTGCTAGGATATATCTGGGGTGCCAAACTGGTGGCGGACGAAATAGTTTGTCAGTCCATTTCGTCAGACCCGCGAAACCCTCTCCAATAGTTGGTGACGAAATTGCGCCGTCAAACCTCAGCTTTTCCATATTGGACATTTCTGGGTAAGAAAACTTGCATTCGTCAGTGTGGCTCTCAACCACCCCTGAGAGATTCCATCCGGTCCTCATTGAGTTTGACACCTGGGCAATAATATATGAAAATAAAAGAATAATGGAAAAAAAATGAAAAAGCACTCACTCTTCTTGTCTGTTCGCCATGAGAAAATGCAAGAGAAATAAGGCAGGAAGCGAGATTCTCGCGAAGAAATTGAAAAGGAAAAGATAAACCTCTGGTCATCAACTCAATTCCACAGTAATTTTAGTCACAGAAATCTCGCTAATAAGAAAAAAAAAGAAGGAACTTCAATGTCAGCAGCGTTCGTGCCAACCTCGAATCTCCAAGCAGACTCGGAAAAGTAGGATTAACGCCGAGCAAAGCCATAGCGAGAGCAACGGTTCCCAAACCTCCTTTTACTCGCCTCTCGTGTCAGTACGCGCCTGGCACTCGCGCTCCTGCCTTCTCCGCGTGTGGCAAGCCTCCTTCATTTCCACCCGCTGAGGTCTTAGAAATCTTCACTGTTGAATGCGGACTCGTTTTCACTGGTCGAGATGCTGCTTGTAGAACTTACACGTTTCAAGTTTTGTGTACGAAACACGGAATCTTATTTAGTAATTCTGCTCAGCGGAATCATGAGATTCGCCGTCGGGATTCTGCTATCAGCTGCACGGAATTGCTGGTCGTTCCCGCCGTTTCTCGATCGGCTGAATCCATTTTTCGACATTGGAATGAGTCATGTGTGAGGATTCTATTGTTCCAGAGATCGGGGGCAGACGAAAATCCAGGTTCCGACGCCAGGAGAAAAAGGATTTGCGAGGCTCTTCCTCGTGCCAAGTGGTATTGCGAACCTTGTACGAACCAAGGGCGAAAAGGGAATTCGGTATGCTTGATTTATCATCTCGGTCGACGTCACTTACAGGATAGGATTCTGCGGAATTTTTTTTTCTTCAGAGTTTGCCTGGCGAAAAAAAAAAGAGAACCACTCGTACAATACATAGAGCACGAAGTCTGGATGCTTTTTTTTTCCCCCTGATGCGATTTCATGTAAAAGGTGATGCAGTCAACAGTGATCGACGAAGAAAGTTTTTCTCCGTTCACATCCAACGAGCGAGGTCGCAATTCGGTGAAGTCAATTCTCGTCTGCACAAAATCAAAACGGCAGGACGATATCGTCCAGGCAACAATCGCGAGAAGTGTATTTATGATAACAAAATGCCGCCTTACAGCCCTAGGGGGGGGGGGGGGGGGGGG